CCGTTGTTTACCACTACAGTATTAACCATCATGTCAAAACCATTAACCATTGTTAAATTGTTAACCATTATTAAACATTATCTACCATTAATCACCGTTAACCATTATTAATCATTATTAATCACCATTCATCATCAGTTTAACCACCATCGTATTAACCACCATTGTTTTTGACCACTAGTACCATCACGATTAGCTATTCTGATTCATTATTAGCTATTATCATTAACTATTATGATTAACTATTCTGATTCACCAGAGGGTAGCCAGATGGTAACCACGATGATGAAGTATAAACAATGCTGATTCACATGCTAATAGTCAAAGATTAACCATTCAAACCGTTAAACATTTAGCCAATAATTTTTGCCATTATTCACCATGAATCACCATTAAACATTATTAATCACAATTAATCATCATTAATCACCAGTAATCATCATTATTCAAAGGAAGTTTTGCTGGAAAACTTCCGAGTTGCGGACGATGGTCATGGCTAGCATTCCCACCATCATGTCAACTACATCATCATGTCAACCCCATCATCATGTCAACCACATCATCATTATATCATTATCATGTCAACCAATGTGGCTCCTGGGGTCGCCAGTAGGGTCTCTGTTTCCGCGGGTGCGGGGCTCGATCTGGGAAAGTTGTCGACAAAAAGTGCACAGGACTGTGGAGAGAGCTCGATTTGCACTTCAATATGTTATAAAACTGGCATGCTCGGAACACTTTTGGAAGGTAAGGGCGCCAAAATCTGCACGAGACTCTAGCGAGAGCTCGATTCCACGAAAAAAATGTAAAAAAGAACTGTGGCGTTCGGAATTTATGTGGTTGAGTCCGCGCTGCTGACGCTGCACGAAAGTTGGTCAATTTGGTGCGGCGCTCCTGCTTTGCGAGCTTGCAACCCGCTGTGACATTGGCACGGCTCCGTGCAGCAAAGCATGAGTGATGCTGCGACGCTCCCGGCAAGCTGGATTGCAGCTGGTGGAGGTTGCTAAACGCAATGTAACAGCTGCGCGAAGAGAAAAATCGGGTTGCAGAAGCTACAAAAGAGCTAGCTGGGAGGCAGCTCAGAGCAGAAGTAGCCCAGATAAGTGGCTGCTCAGAGAAGAAGTAGCTGAGAGAAGAGGTGCCTCAGCGAAGTGGTCGCTCAGTGAAGAAGTAGCTCAACAAAGAAATGCAAGTAGCTCGCCCATCCATCCATCCATCCATCCATCCATCCATCCATCCATCCATCACTTCATGCATTCCTTCACTGATTCATGGAATCACTGATTCATTGGTTCATTGATTCACCGAATCAGTGACTCATTGATTCATTGATCTGCTGATTCATTGCTTCATCGATTCACTCATTCACTCAGTCATTGATTCATCGACTCACCAGTTCACTCGTGCATTGATTCATCGATTAGTTTTCACAGAATCACCGATTCACTGAGTCATTGATTCACTGAATCATCGTTTCATCAAGCCATCGGTTCTTTCCTCCATTGACTCGCTGAATCATTGATTCATTGGCTCATCGACGCACTAAATCATCTATGCGTCGATTCATTGATTCATTGAATCATTAGTTCATTGATTCACTGATTCATTGGTTCATTGATTCAATCACTGATTCATTGGTTCATTGGTTCATTCATTCACTCAGTTGTGCAGGGATTGTGTTATGTCATTTCATTCGCATCTCAATCACCATTTGCGCAGTCGTTGATCCACCTTATAAGTTCAACTGCTCATCGCTTCCGCATCTCAAAAACGTTCCTATAGGCCATTGATTTTTTGTCAAGTAGTCATCTTCTATTTTCGAAACTTCCGCCCCGGCGAGGGCCGAACACTATCTGGCAACCATTATTTCACCATGATGGCCAACTATTCACCATCCATATCACCCATGGCGTCCGCAGGCGACTCGCTGCTGCTGGAGGGTGCCTCTGGCACCGGCAAGTCGTCCCTGCTGCGCGCCATTGCGGGACTCTGGAGCCGTGGCTCAGGCCCGGGATGTCACCATGGGATCCCCAAGTCATGGGTTATGAAGTCATGGCCATCATTGGATGATGACCGGTACTGTACCCTGGTGAATTTGGAGACCTCCAAAAGTGGGGAATTTTGCTGCAAAAATGATGGTTTTACCTGGTTTAACCATGTTTGGCCTGCAAACGACCAAGAAACATGTGTAACATGTGTATTTCATCATAAAAAGTGAACATGCAACCAAGAAAAGTGTCCATTTAATCATGAAACGTGGGAATTGAACCACCAGAAATGCCAATGCAGCTATCAAAAGTGTGTATTGAATACTAGAAAAAGGGGAATTGACCCTTAAGTAAATGGAATCTAGCAACCAAACACAGGGATTAAACCCAGTGGATTTAAGACACAAGAGTGCGGTCAAACAACAAAAGTGTGGATTTAAGCATAAGGATGAGGACTTACTTTAGCAGACAAGAATGCGGGTTTAGTCAGTAATTTGGAGTTTATCTTCTAGAATTACAGATTGTCAAGTACAAACTGGGAATGTGAAAACATTGGGGGATCAATGATTTGGACCAACAACTGAATGGGTGAATCGATCATAATCGATCCAATTGCATAGGTTTGTGGTTTTGTAGGTTTCTTTTACTTATCCATTATTTTTTTTAGACCCTATACTGACTTGTTTTAAATCAACTAGATTTTAGTCACTGGGTTGAAGTTATTGACATTGTGTAATTGTGGATGTACCTTTCACCAGACTCTGGTCATCCCAGAATCCCAGAAATCCTGGGTATATCAGCCCCTATGGATCCCTATGGTATGACCATCCGCGAGTTATAGCGAGTTAATCCAATCCAACTCTTGAACATGGCACACATGTCAGTGTTACTTGTCGGATGTGGGAGCTCACCACAGGAACCATCCGACGAACGCGACTAGACAGGCGGGAATTTGTTTTGTTGGTGTTTGTAGCGATATGATGCTCTTTGGACATGTTCATTGGGGATGATTTACCCTCCGGTAATCGCACATGGCTGGCTGGAAAATCCGCCATAAATGGTCAGAAACGGGCATTTAAATGAGAAAATCATCGAACTAAATGGGATTTTCCAGCCAACCATGTCTAGCTGCCATAGGGTACCCCAACTGACATCCTGCCCAACATTAGAAGATAGTGGAAGATGACCTTCGCTATTCAACATGGCATTGATATCGAAGGATGGCGCCTCTACCAGTTTGAGAATCGCAGACAACAGGAACAAGACATTTAAGCAACCAGACTGGAAGTATGAGCAAGGGAGCATGGACATCTAAGCAGCGAAACCCATACCATGACCCTCCAGAATTAAATCAATACTGTAGTCTGTGTCATTCAGCTTTGGACACTGCACGCATGGTTTTTAGATGATTCGCTTGTTGAGAAGATATGTAGGCAAAGTCAACACATTTGGGTATCCTCTGCATCCCTCTGTAGATTTTGACCTGGCCATGAAACATGCCCAGTTTCAACGGGTCTATATATCAACACAAAGGAGACAAATAGTCGCAGGTTTGTGGTAGGATTCTATCCAGAGGTGCTGGATGGCTGGGAGCCGCACCTGGAAAAACCAGGATTGAACTCTCAAAGATTTTTTTGAGTAGGAAAATACTGCTCCAAGCGCGCCTGTTGAGCTTTTATGTTTGTTTTCTGGGGGTAGCATAGTATAGCCAGATTCGAACCTCGCTGTTTTGGTTGCTGAACACACATTATCGCTGACGCAGTCATGCGGATGGAATGAATCTAACTTCGGAGCAAAGCAAAACCTTCATAGGATTTCAACTGACATTTCAACCATTTTCAACCAATGATTGTAGCATATTGTAGCAACCCCCAAAAGATAGAACAGTATAGAACAGTCATGGGCCAGGGATTGTTTTGGTGGCACTTGTTTTAGTAGGATTCCACTTTTCATGTGTTTTCCTTGGTTTCTGTATTGTAAAACTTGTGAGAACACAATTATCTCAAGCGATTGTGGCCCAAAATCGATTATTTATCTTCAGCTGTTATCTCAGCCAATGATTGCCTGTTAGTTTGGATTGTCGGTTTGGAATTCCAGGATCCAGGTATGAAAGGGATTATCAGCACTATTTCAAGGATTCTGAACCACCCTTCCCAACAGCCAGGAAGAGAATTCAATACTCAACTGCTCCAGTTTGTTTGTTTTCGCAAGGCTTCTAAGACATGGAAAAATTGGCTGCACGATTGGCTGACTCAAAAGCAGGAGATTTGATGCTTGGAAACCCTTGGCCTGATGGCCTACGAGCTGAATCGTTGACCAAATTTGCACGCGGTGCTCCTTCGAAGTGATGGCAGTGCTGTGGTTTGCGGGCAAAATCACAATGGCCAATGTGACATTCCAGATTTGGACTACCAAGCTGTCAGCGGGCAGTGCGCCATTGTTGCAGTCGGGGACAACGACGGACAACACAATATCCCACCGATTGTGGAGTAGTTTACTCTGAAGTTTATGCAGGTGCTCATACAGTGCTCCTCCCAAGTGTTTGGAGTGCAGTGGCCTGCGGAGAAGATGGTTTTGGACAATGTAACATTTGCCATCAGAGTGGGCACCACCGCCTCGTGGTCATGGCGGGCTGGTTCTTTGCGTGGCTGCTTTGCTTGCTCAGTCCAGTACCAACGGTGCTCCGAATGATTTCTGACGTGAAGGGTCATGACATAGAGGATCACATGGTCTGTAATTGTGCATTATGGTGGATATCTATGGCTGTGAGGACTTGGTTACGCCTACAGTTTGATTTGATTATATACCAATACTTTCCATTTTGGAAAGTTGGACACTCTGCACCTTGATGCACAGTTTTGTGGGATGCTACTCCCAGAATTTTGGGATGATCATTGGATATGTTGGACATTCGTTGGATATGGGATCGACTTTCTCGATGTGAGTTGCATGGAATTGCGTGCTTGGAAATTTTGAGGCTTTGAAAATTGATGGTGAGCTCAGTACCTGGTGTCAAAATTGCATGACTTGTCTCGTGCTTGCCAATTCCTGAATCGTTACGAGGCTTGAACAAGAAGTGCCGCCAACCCTCTCCATCGGTTGTCGCTTGAACTTTCGACATACAATGCGGTGCTTCGCACCTATCATCATGTTCATGCCATTCGCTTGGGGGATGCCATTTGCAACAATCTCACAATGTAACATTTCATCAATAGATGAGGGAATGTCCTACACCCAGGTGTCTGCAGGTTTGCATCATATACTCCTTCTCCGAAGCGATGGACATGTTGTTTCTTCTGGAAGCAGCGCCGATGGACAGTGCGACATTCCACCCTTGGACGGAATCTCATACACCCAAGTGTCTGCAGGTCGATGTCACACCGTACTTCTCCAGAGTGACAGTCCTGCTGTAGCTGGTGGATGTAACATTGATGGACAAGGTGACACCGTGTGACACCTCACCTCTGGCCGAAGGAATGTCTTACACCCAGGTTTGTGCGGGTCAGGGGTTCCATAACAGTGCTTCTCCGCAGTGATGGCTGTGCCGTCGCTTGTGGAAACAAAACGGCATTCACTCGGCTTTCTGCTGGCCTTGGTCACACAGTGCAAGAAGTGATAGCAAGGTTGTGGCTTGCGGAAGCAGCAATTAATGAAGGAGAAACTGTCGATTTGGCATGCTGCAAAGATGATGAGTTATGTTTGATTTGCTCGAACCTGGCAGGGGAAGGAATGTTCGATTTGAAGGCAAATTGGTCTGATCTCGCCTGGGAAACAAGCATCTTGCTAAGGAATTGAAGGTCAAACTCCAGAGTCTTCGTTTGGCCTTGCCGCTGTTGGCCGAGTTCGGCCGCACAAATCAAGGGGCCACCTGGTAGATGTGCGCATGGCCATCTCAGGTAGTTTCAGGGAAATTTTAAAAGAGATCAACCCATGGACAGGTCGCAAATGAGGAAAGGAAGTGAACCACTGAAATGAGGAATGGCATCTCATGATTCTTGCCTGCAGACATAAAGTAAATATAGAGGTCAACACTGGTAAAATGTCAACAAAGCGTGCAAGTGTGCGTGTGCGTGTGCGTGTGCGTTTACTTGTGCGTCTGCGTGTTCTGGGTGAAAACTGATGCGTAGCCGAATTGCCAGCACTTTCTATTTAACTGCGGATATTCCATTCATCTAACTCGGTACCTCGCACCATTTACAATGCTTCGCAGGAACAATTTTGCAAATATGTTTGTACGGGTCATAGCTGATCAATATGTACACGAACCATTGCGTATTGGTAAATCTATCCTATCCCTTGTACATTGCTGCATAACTGGCACCCCCTTTCGGTATTCCACCTGACAGGTGTTTCTTTCTTCCGCAAGCACCTTACTTATGCTTGGGCAGTTTGCGTGACAATGAGACTTGGCTGTGACATTGCTATGCGGGTCATATGGAAATGGTGAAAATGCGAAAACATGGTCTAGCTAGTGTTTGGCAATCAAAAATAACAATGGAAACTACCACGTTCAATAGGTAAATAATCTACAACCGTGACCATTTCCATATAGATGTTCCCTCAAAATCTTCCTGTAGATCGATTGTATCCAACTATTTGTTGTGGGTCGACTTGGCGGTTTCAAACATCAGCGGAGCAGGTTTTCAAATTAGTTTTGTCCATTGATTGGCAATCAGTCGGCCATGGAATTGCTTGATGAAGCCAGGAATCTTTGGCGATGCTTCTCCCATTGTGGGAATTTCCATGGAACAACCACTGGAATCAATCCACAATAGTTACCATCTCTTATTCCCATAAATTAACTGTTACCCTCCGGTAATCAAACATGGCCATGGAGAAGCCTCCATTCGTTCATAGATTACCTACATTGATTTACCAATTAAGACCTACATTTACAGGGGATTTCTCGTTGCCATGTTTGATTACCAGAAGAAACATCATCCATGGAATGAAGCACCGCATCGTGGCGCTATTTTACCCTTTTGGATGGGCTTTGGATGGCTTTGGTAAAATGCCCCGTTGTTACAAAGGATATCGCCCTTCAATATCTGAAAACGAGGTGTCCATTTGAAGAATTCATACATGGGGATGGGATGGGATGGGTCAATACTCATCATATATACTTCTTTGGGTGGTGAACATCCATCCACTTCAGGTTCTTTATCCCAGGGACCAGACGGAAGTAGACGTTACCAGCGACCAGATTATCGAAGTCCTAGGACCGCATGGCATGGACCAAACTGGAACTGCATTTGTTGGTCATTTTTAGTAGAAAACCATGGAAAACCTTGGGGTAGTGATTGTTGACCCATGAGAGTATGAAGTGATTCAAAAGGTTATTTATTTGCTTCTCTCTGTTTGGGCGTCCGTTTGTTGGCATTATACCAATGGATCCATCTGTCGATCCATCCACCTCCCTTATGGGTCTTGCACCTCAACTCAAGGTGGTTTCAACTAATTTTTCTATAGACACATCTTTGGATTTCTCCAGATCCCAAATTGTTTTGACCACCAGAAACCATTGGTATGAAACATGGCGCCTGAAATTTTGGAAACTCTCCAAGCTGTAGTTTGATTCACTTGGGATGGTGGAAACCAGCAAGAATTTTGATGATTATATATTGGTCGATCTTCTCATCTTTGTGGTCACATGCTCTATGTTGCAGACATAGTACTTAGATGTACTTAGTACATATAGCGCATACCTCAAAAATAGAAGATATTCAGCTACCATTTTTGTACCCCATCTTCTATGTTTCTTGTTTTCTGAAAGGCGTTTTGAGAAGAATCACATAGACGATATTATGTCAAAATAGAGCCAAAACCAGGGTCGGAAAGGATTTTGGAGTCCGCTTGGAGGACCTTGCTGCGGATCCACTTTTGGATCTTCTATCTTTCCGCTAATTTTTGACCCCCATTTTCTATCTTTCTTGATCTTCGATCTTTCCGGTCCGAGACCGGCTCTTGGAGGACCCTTTGCGACAAGGAGTATCTTCTATCTGGTTTGTTGATTTTACACCACCAATTTTTGCATCTTCTATGTTTCTTTACTATTTAATATCTTTATTTTTGAGGGATGCGCTATATCATAAATTATCATAAATATGATTAGTATATATATATAATTATATATATACATATATTATCAGAAAGATGAACCATGAAGAACATCGATTACCATGATTGCCATCTAAACAATCTATGCACATATCATACATATCTCAATTTCTGTTGGTTCCATTTCTGGCAGCACAGCGCCAGGATCCTTGGGAATTAGCCATCTGCTTGACCGTTGCTTGGCGATTCTGCCGGGACATGGGCAGAATTTCATGCCAGCACTCTGAGACCTGCGGGCCATTTCATTTTTGGAGACCCAATTCTGACTTGTAGTGGTATTTAAAACAACAAAAATGTGTGCAAGGCTTGCCCTAAATTTGTCGAACCAGCATTGGGGGCTGTGGAATTTCACCTTAAAGATCTATGGAAATAGGTTTGGCCATGTTTTACCGAGGTTTACCAACAAAAGGATTTCTGGTCGGAGGATTTGAGAAGTCTGCAAGAATTTGGAAAAGATTCCAAAACTTTGTACGAAAGTGGTGACATGTACCTGTCTTCACCAACATCCATTTGAACAACCAATGGGGAAATGTGCGTAACATGCGAACCGTGGAAAAGACATGTGGGGTATTTGCAGGCGATTCATCACTGTGCACGATTGACAAAAACAACTTGTTGATCACCTAGCATATTTGGCATTCCATGTGCGCAATACAATATACCTCCATAGTATAATATATATGTTTATACATATATAATCATATATATATATTGTTATTATAATAATTACTATTAATTATCATGAATTTACACATAGAAACAATATATATATATATATGGGTAAATTATAACGACCTCACTGCGACCTCACTGGAATCATGGTTAATAAGGGAAATCATCCCCAATGGCCTTAATTCAGCTTAGTGAAACATTCTAATTTACCAAGAACATACATACAAATATATACTTTTAGTGTTGGGTACATATTGTAGATAATGCATGTACATACTATATATATATATATAATATATATATATATAGTAGATATATCATATCCACATCTTCTAGCTTATCTCCGTCCTTTCCTCCGAGGACATGGTTTAGACATGGATTTGGATTTCAGCAATGTGCTCTCAGGTTGGTTCCCGGGGCTCCCCCGTGGTTCCCTGTTACCTGGGCCACAAACTGTACATTGTACATAGGTTGGTGACCATAAGTTAGCCATTAAATCATCTATCAATGGGGATTTCATCGGCATTTAATGCGATGTCAGCCTTCAAACATGGGGATTTGATTGATAAGTGATGGATGGTTGATGCTTGATTGGTTGATTTAGAGAGTTGTACTAAGTGGATACTAAGTTGTTTATTGGGGCTTATCGACTAACCCATAGTTACCGGGATCAAAAGCATGTCCAACCGGTATTTCAGATGGGAAAGGGGGTACTTGTCATTGTTCAACTAGGTTAACTATGATTAACAATTGTTAACTAATGTTAACTATGGTAAACTGTTGTTGACTGGAGGTGCATGTCATGGATATAAATATCGATATGGATCTAATATACATTACATAATAATACATAATATATATATATATGTACATACAAAGTTAGCTCAACTGTTGGACTTTTAATTAGATGGGTTACGGGTTTCCAACCTATCTAGGGGGGCCTTCCCTGTATGTAGACCCCAGCCTTGCTAGGGTGGTTCATGAATTCTGCTTAACTGTACAGAGGGGTACCCCAAAAAAGTGTTTCTTTACTGGCAATAAACCCTGGTCAATTGCACTGCCTGGAGTTAGCTCACCCTGGGTCAGTATTATGTTTCTAGATTCTAGACTGGGACCATCCACTATTTTCGAGTCCTGAGTTTGACGTGCACCCAGACATGCAGAAAAGCAGTCATCAAATCAAAGCTACGGATCAACCATTCCACGCCGCTGGGAGGTGGCGAAAGGCAGCGGCTGGGCTTTGCGAGATTATTGTGTCTCGACATGTGATCCATTGGAGCTCCATGTACTTTTACATACTTTTACCTAGGTAATTATCGTCAAAATGAAGTGCCCAGGACAGATTCTGGTCATTTTGAGTGGTAAAACAAGTCCGCTTTTGGGGAGTCTCTGACGCAATAATCCCTGTTGCCTTCTTCAGCTGGGATGTTCATTCATACTAGCAACCCGCAAAAAGATACAACGGGTATCAACGAATTAACATTAACATTCCCACTCAAAAAACCGTTCCCTTTTTTGGGTGGATTACTTTAAATGATTAGTAATTTGGATACATAATTCATAATGACCATAAGAACAATTTTAGTCATTGTGTAATTCCTACTCAAATATATTTCCCTTTTTTGGATCGTTTGGAGCTTGTTTTTTCTTTTCCTTATTTGAAGTGAGGCTTCGTGATGATATCGAGTTGGCCTTGTTGGATGAGGTTGGACACATGGGTCTGGAAATGGTTTGGGCCCCAAGAATGGTTTAGTTTAATAGGGAACATGATGATAAACACGAAGGAATTAATTTGGGGTACTAATTTATTTGTTTAGGCAAAGCCACATGTTCATCTTTCTAAATTCTTCACAGCAGCTCCCAGATACAGTGGCTAGATCTGCAGTGGGAAATGATGACTTGTAGGTCACCTATAGGACCTAAGCTTACAACTCCTCCCATCTTGGTGATTGTGAACACCATGGAACATCCAAGGATGTTCAGTTTTTTTTTTAACCCTGTTGTTTTATATCGACACATACTGTATCCTCCTGATTGGAGGGTTCCAAAGATCCGTTTCTTGCCATCCTGGAGAATAATCCCTAGAAATCCTCCCTTTCGGGGTTGGACTCTTAGAATCTTAGAACCTAATCAACTTGGAAAGCAACTAAAGATATGATGTCATATGATACTGAGAATTCAACCATTGCGTTTATCATTTTTGGGCCTGGTGAAACCTGAACCCACCCATTGCTCCACCATCATTTCAGATCACGTCTCTTCCTGGGCTGTGCCAGGCCACTTCTGCGTTGGACGATGAGAATGAGCCGCTGGGCCATGAAACCATGGAGGTTTGAAGATGGTAGCCAGAAACTGGCTAAACTGGATGACATTGTCAGTTTCCTGAAATGGAGGCCCCAAACCATCCATTTTTTGGGTGGGATTTTCAGACTTTCCATGATGAATCATCCATGTTGGGGTGTCCCATTGAGTCGATCGACACAACCGATGGCTGTGGTTGGGAGACCTTTTTTTGGACGAATGATGGCTAGTGAAAGTACTGAATGTTCAGACAATCCCTTATCTTGAATATTCCAGTTTTGAAAACACCGGATTCTATTGTGGAGCAAAATACCTCAGTCTGTTCCAGATCCTTCCAGATTATGATTAACTTTTCATTCGTCGAACCTGAGCAGTGTTTTGCTGTTTGGAAGTTGATGTTCAAGATGCACAAGGTGGTGGCGGAAGTTTCAAAAATAGGAAACCTATAGGAGAGGTTGGTTGTTGTGAATCACGGATGGAAGAGCGAATCCGCTGAATCCACTGATGGACTGAAAGGTGGTTGGAGTTGTGTTTTTTGGAATGGTTACAATGGTTGCAGTGGTCACCTGGTCCGTCACCTCACCCACAACTGCTGGATGTAGTGTGGTGTCGTGTAGTGTAGTTGCAGTTGCATTTGTGGTGGTGTAATGACCGTAGCGTAATGTAATGTAGGGTAGTGTAAAGTAATCTAGTGTAGTGTAGTGTAAAGTAGCGTAGCTGTAGCTGTAGTGTAGTGTAGTGTGGTGTGGTGTAGTGTGGTGTGGTGTGGTGAAGTGTAATGTTCTGTAGTGGTAGCTGTGGTGGTAGTTGTAGTTGTGGTTGCAGTTGTAGTTGTAGTTGTAGCTGTAGTTGTAGTGCGGTGTAACTGAGTGTAGTGTAATTGAGTGTAGTGTAATTGAGTGCAGTGTAATTGAGTGTGTAGTGAAGTGTAGTGGAGTGTAGTGTAGTGGAGTGCAGTGTAGTGTGCTGGAGCGTAGTGTAGTGTAATTAGTATAGTGTAGTGTAGTTGTAGTTCTAGTTGTACTGAGTGTAGTGTAGCGTAGCGTAGTGTAATTGAGTGTAGTGTAATGTAGTGTAGTGTGTTGTAATGTAATTAGTGTAGTGTAATGCACATAGTGTAGTGTAGCGTGATGTGTTGTAGTTGTAGTTGTATTTGTGGATTAGTGTAGTGTAATTGAGTGTAGTGGAGTGGAGTGTAGTGTAATTAGTGTAGTGTAGCTGTTGTTGTGCTAAGAGTAGTGTGGTGTAGTGTAGTGTAATTGAGTGTAGTGGAGTGGAGCGGAGTGTAGTGTAGTGTAGGTTTTTTTCATTAGCGTAGTGTAGTGTAATGTAGTGTATTGTAATATATTTTTATTTGTGTTTCGCGCCGCAACGGGATGCACTTTTTCGACATCTCAACTTTAAAAGTGGCCCGAGCATGATGTGTTTTGTAAATTTTGACTTGGAAATGTGCTTCGCGCCACAACGGCGTGCAACTTTTTCATCTCTCATCTGGCCAGATGGCTCTGCACCCGCCGCTTTCGCGAGCCTACTTTTCGACCCTCCGGAGCCACAAACCATTGGAAAAACACAATGAGAATTTCCCTTCTTTGATCTTCCTTCTTCTTCTCTTTCTCTTCTCTTCTCGTCTCGTCTCGTCTCGTCTCGTCTCTTCTCTTCTCTTCTCTTCTCTTCTCTTCTCTTCTTTTCCCTGACTTTTCCCATCTCTGCGTTTCATCTGTCCATATCGTCGGAAGTTTGACTTCTAAACTTCCTTCGATAATTGCTGTTCGAAGATTGCGCTGGCTCAAACAGATTGGAGGACACAAAGCTGCAATCATTCGATGCTGTCTATGTGTCATCCGCAAGGTTGATTGCGTACCAGCTCTTGAAGAAGAAGGCCTGGCAGGACGTAGCGATGTGGGAACTAAGTTTGCTCAACTGGGGGCTGAAGCGCACGACTGTTGTATTTTCAAAGCTTGAGTTGCAAGTTCTGGACCTGCCTGGCTCAGGTACATTGCTATGTCTCGGTGGGTCATAGAGCTTCTCTGGTTGCGAATCATTCCACTCGCTTGCAATTGACAAGGCCTTGGGGAGATCCCAAAAAATGGATTGAGAAGATGAGATGAACAAGTAGTAATGTGGTATACAAAGCCAATAACAAACCAATCCATTAACCAATCCTTTGGGTGTAATTTTACAATCATCAGAGCCATGAAAGCCACCAAACCACCATGGTGAAACTGCCAACTGCTTGAGATCCACTACCGTAATGACATGTGGGGCATGGGTCAAATTTAATCACATTTACATAGTTAGCCCAAAATGGGAGGTTTCAGACCTAAAGTGACCCAAGATCCAGTGGCTCCTGAGTTTTTAATTTTGACTCATCGCCATATCTTGGAGGATTTAGCGCCGACCTCTAGAAAGTGCCACCGTATTTCAAGTTGGTTCATAACCTCATCTAACTATAGACATATCAACAAATTCCAATAGCCATTGTGAATACAAACACGATTTAACAGTTATAGTAGTTAGAATCAGTTAGAAACCAACTTACCTCTCTTGGGGTTCCACATGGTAGAAACGATCGATTGAAATCCACATGTGAAGGAGTGAAATGTTAAACAGTTGAGGGTTGAGTTTCTCCTCAGTATGTTTCATATGAGATAGTGTTTCTATGTGTTTCTGATTCTACTAGTGGACTATGTACTACTGAGCAATCATGCACACTTGGCAGCTATTTCCGTGCTCCATTACTTTTGCATGTCCTGATATGTCCTGGGTGGACTATTGGGACAAAGAGCCCCTCTCGTGCGGTTGCATGCCCAGTGACTGTGGAACCCGCGGCCGCAGGCCCTCCAAGAGCGATGGAGACGCCAGTGGAGTGCACCGGCCCGAGGCCGAGCAGCAGTTGGAGGGCGATGTATAGTAACGTATGTACTGTATATATTTATACAGTATATATATATACATAAATACAGTGTATATATATACACATAAAAATACAGTGTATATATATACGGTATATATTATATAGTATTGATACATAGAATTCTGTACTGGATGTACACATAGATAAGAGTATAGGTAGATAGACATACAGTAGAAATGTTGGATTGGAATATCATATGTCACCGTATGCCTCGATTCTTTTATGGGTTGACCATGTTGGTTCTGTCCTTCCAATGATTCTTCTAATGGGCTGTGGCACCACTGGCACCAGACTCAATTGCATGGTTTCCAAGTCCCCTGCAGTTGGGTTTGGGGATATTCATGTCGATTCGCTGGAAGACTTCTACAGCTATAGGTCTCATTGGGATGCTTGCAACAAAGTAACACACATTTGTGGGTCATTGGCTTCGGAATTGCAACACATGTGCCAAACCATCTGCCATACTTGACACTCCCAGTTGTTTTTTCTCAGCTAAGAGCTTGCTGCGACAGTGCTGCGACCCTTCAAACTTTCGTTAGGTGGCAAAGGGATAGAAGGATACAAAAGGTTGCTCTATTTGTTGCCTCATGTTTATTCCTTTTCCTGGTTTAAACTACACATTGGCAGTGAGTCAGACATTTGGAACGTCGCCCATCACATGCTGTAGCAAGGGGAACCTGAGACAGGCATTCTTCGTCTTTTCAGTGAAATACGCTGATCATCCCAACGAAGAATTGAACATGAAGGGATGGGTCAAGTTACCGATGACCATATGACTGGGGGAATAAGCATCCAGCTATACCAGCTATGACTTCGAGTACCATCAAAGGGTACCAGCGGCTCGGGCTGACCCATAAGGCCCATAACCACAACAAAAGCATCGGGACAATGATCCCAATTAGCATAATTGGCAAACTTCAGATTGACATTTTCCGGGTCAACCTTGGATGAGTACACAAAAAAACGTTATTTTTGCTGCTAGAAATGGGCTTATATATATATATACATAATTACAGATATACTAGCTAGCTAGTGTTTTTCTAAACAATGTATCAGTGTAAGATTGGCCATGTTTTTGAAGTTTATCTTTGGCCTGTTCCGGATCCATGTTTCTTAAAGACTTACACTTCTGGGGTATACTGAAAATGAAGGCACCGAGATCAACCGTACAGATTTTAATCAGAATCGGTTTGGGGTTGCTGAACGGGCGCAGGAATATATAATGGGGATATGATATAAGCATTAATGGATATTATATAACGGGATCTACAACTAACTATATGTCACATATATCTATATACATATATCAAAATGTATGGTGGTTTCTGATATATATATATAATTAGTTGTATCATGGGATATTGAACCAGCTTAGTATATTTGCCATATTAGCCATGATTTGGGGAGCATCCCTCATATATACATACGTGAATATCTAAACTATCCTCCAGTAAGCGAACAGTTACGGAAGCGATGGCCCATTTAGTTCGAAGGTTTACCTCTTAGAAATGGTGAGGTTCCAGTTCGCAAACTCTCAATTTACCAGAGGGTACTTCCAAATCCACGTGTAAATCATCATGTTCCTTAGTGTTTCATGGTTATTTGATGGTTAAATCCCAATGTTCCATTGTTGAATCCCATTTTTTATGGTAAAAATCGCGTTAAATCGATGTAAATCCCACTGTTTCATGGTGAAATCTGCATTTCCCCAGCTTTTTCATGGTTAAATCTCAATTTTCAAACACTACACACCTCCTATGACATCGAATGGTAGGTTCAATGAAACTCGTCCATTTCTGATCCCTTCACAGCCAGGCCAAGTTCCACTTTGGGACGTGAGGTGCTGGGGAGTTCACCAGAAAACATGGTGGATAAATGATGGATTTCACGGATTTAATCCAAACGAAACGAGATGTTACGTGATTTACACACTTTGCGAACTGGAACATCACCATTTTTAGTAGGTAAATCACGGGAAATCATTAGACTAAATGACAATTTTTCCATAGCTATGTCAGTTTACTGGAGGGCCACCCCAATGCGGATTTCACAGCATTTGGCCAAACAAAATCGTGTAACCAACATAAACATAGGGTCATCAATCCAAATTTGGTAAGCAAGACCTCTTCGAAGTCAAACCTTCCCTTACTTTGGGGATCACCTTTGCAAATGCTTGGTCTGTGGGCGGTCACATGTGCTGGGAGTTGATGAGGAGTAAGAATCATGGCTGGTTGATTGTTTCAAGAAAGTTTATTGTCTCTATTATCAGGGAAAAAGACACATCCTACCATGACGTTTTGGTGCCACGGAGATATTGGGTGTAAAGACACAGGAATGATAGGGCTGCAACGGACAAGAATGATTGGATGCACCATGATGCAATGGGCGTGAGACTAACAGCAACTTGGTATCTCAATGATTTCCTGCTAGAAAACCATGGCTTTTACCACCGAAATCAAACACCTTCTCCTCTAATCGTCCTACAAAGTCCTTGAAATTCTGAACCCCGAAGCAGAGGACAGGCCGCCAGGCCTGTAAAAAGTGTCCAGCCTCATGTCGAAAAACCATGGCTGAGGTGTCTCCAGATATTCTTGGGATTTTTCCACAAATTTCCCATCTACTTCCATGATTTTCTCATTCCAAAAGCCATGGCGAGTTACGTGGGATTTCCACCGCATGGATGGGGCACCTTGGACGTTTAGATCTGGTGGGTCAGGATCATCGGATGATCTGATGGTGAAAACCACCACCATCCACCAACCACACATTGATTTCAAAACTTCTGTGACGGCCAAAGATCTCGAAGTTGCGGCTGGGTGAAAAAGGTGGCAGGTGAAAGGGAGGTCGCTGAAACGGTCAAACTGGGCCGGATACTCCAAAAAATAAACTTGGATGGTTTGAGAGTACAGATAACATAAGATAACCAAGAATGGTGGGCATATTGATTTGGTTTGACATGGTCTGACATATTTTTGCTGAACTTCAAAAGATGTGGGATCCCAAATCACAGTGTGAAGCGGGGTATTGTGTGGTGTGCACTCAGGCCGTATCTGGTTCAGACAACCGGACGTTTGAAACATGTGTGACCCAGAAAGCATTAATTACATATGTGGCTACAAGTAAGTAGCCGGGTGAAAGTATGTTTGTATAGTTGCATTGCACGTATTTAGTTTGTGTCATGCAAGCTATCTACTCTAAATGTATTCGTTGTATATCAATCATAATGAAGTGTTTATATATGTGTATATGTATGTATATGATATGCAAGAGATAGACCAGGATAGTATAATTGTGTTTTGTCAATGACTAACATCACCAGATTGATAGCAATAGCAATGTGGAATAGAAGCTAGCGAATATATATATATATATTTATATTTATATGTGCAATCAATATGATACATTGTTCTGTGACAGTGACAGCAATATATCATTTTATATGATGATACACCAATTAGCAATCACGGATACAATAGAGAGAATATTCAAGCGAAGTTGAGTTAGAAAACTTCCGAGTTACGGACGATTGTCATGGGCAGCATTCTCACCATCATGTCAACCACATCATCCTGTCAACCACATCATCATCATCATCATCATCATCATCATCATCAAGTATTTGGGAAGTGTAACAGGTCGGGAACGCGTGACTTCAGGCTTGAAAACACTCTTGGGCACGAAATCCTGTGTTTTTTCGGGTAAAGTGGCTTCCGTGGTCGCCGAAGTAGGGTCTCTGTTTCCGCTGGTGCGGGCCTCGATCTGCAAAAGTTGTCGATAAAAAGTGCACAGGACTGTAGCGAGAGCTCGATTTCACATAGAAAACGTAAAAACTGAGAGCACCAGAGCACTCTTTGAAGATAAAGCATTCACTCACTCAGTCATTGATTTCATTCACTCACTCACTCACTCACTCACTCACTCGTTCATTCATTCCTTCATTCATTCATTCGTTCGTTCGTTCTTGAATTCATTCATTCATTCATTCATTCATTCAGCCAGTCACTCATTCACTCATTCACTCATGCAGTCATTCACTCATTCACTCATTCCCTCACTCATCCACTCATTCATACAATCATTCATTCATTCATTCAGTCATTGATTGATTGATTGATTGATTCACTCAATGGTTCAATTCAACTCGACTCAATTCAACCCAATTCAATTCAATCCAATTCATCTTCTTCAATGCATTCATTTCAATTCACCTCTTTCCAGCTCACCAACAGTTCCTATAAGCAAACTGGTTCCTATGGTCATGTCCTATTTTTGAAACTTCCGCCCCGGCGCGTGCCGGACACTACCTGGTATTCAATGAATGATAGTCAGATAGCCATCATTGTATCAATGATAGCTTCTGTGATAGCAATATTACTAGATTCATCTCTGCCTTTTCTGTCGCCATGGTGCTCCGGGATGCCGCCTTGGCCAGCAGCCCTGGCGGCCTTGGTGGCCCCGGCCCGTCGTCCACGTCGTCCACGTCTGTTTTGGAGGGCTTGAAGGCCTTCAAGGTGCGGGGTTTGAAGGTCTTCAGGGGAGATATGGAAAAACATGGTGACACGCTGAAGGAAATAAGGAAAGATAGGCTTAACAAGGAGGTTCTAGCACAAAAGGTTTTTGAAAGGGTTGGTGTCTGGTTTTGAGCAGGTTTATTCAGCAACCATGGGGATACTTATGTGTATATGTATATTATGTAAAATTTTAGAGATATAATCTAGTAGTCTACCGGAAAAACATTGGCTGAACAAGACATGTTGGGACCAGAAACCAGTCAAGTTTCCGCGGGACATTTCAAGACAAAACCAGGATGTGTGGTGCTCAAAATCATTGCTGGCTGAAATTGGTGGGGTTTATGGGTCGTAACCGTCTTGGTTTTGCAGCTTTCGTCAGGGATTTAGAGGACAAACCTTGCTGATGTAGTGGCGTGGCGAACCAATTTTTACAACAATTACATAGGAATGACACCAGGTCTTGAGCGGGGTCAAAGTAGATGAATTTGGGTACAATCTAGTCAGTTTGGTGGTAGCTACAGTACCATCTCCGATGCAGTTGATGAATTAATGTGCAACATACAAAGACTCCCAGCATGCCATTCATTCCAACCTGAAAACCTTTTCTGTTGGGTGTCCAACAGATATGGTGGGTTTCTACTTGGTCAATCCCGCTTGGATGCTGTTCAGTCCGTCCCAGCAGTTTCCTTTGCCCAACATGTTGCTCCATGCCATTGGTGGATTAACCACTGTTTGGAATAGCCTTCTGACATCTTCTGACACTCAAACCTCGCAATTGAACATCATTTCTAGATGAGACACATCAGTTATAATTAAAAGTTATACTTACATTATATTTGTCTTGTTCTGATGGTTAGATTCTTTGCCAGGAGAATTTGGCTGCGATGCAAGAGCAACCAATGCTGGACTTGAGGAAGATTTTCCATGATTTCCCCTGTTTTGTCAAGCAAAAGAGCCACGGGAAGTCTGAGTAAATCTTGTTTGGTGAATTGTTGATAACCTTTTCAACCACGAATGGATGACTAATATTTTGCGTTTGGGTATCCGAGGTTGCCCGATTTGCTGTTACCACTTCGGTAAAAACTTCAAAAAAATGCATCTATCGCCAGACGACCTGTTTCTTCAACAAATGAGCAGTAACCATTTAACCATTTAGGGACTTTCAGGATCATCGCGACAAGATATCCCATGAAAATCTCTGTGAAAATTCATCCATAAAACTCCCACAAATCCAAAATCTACTGAAAACAGTGGTAAATGTCATCCAAATCATGTGGTAAACCCAACAATAAGCAACCCCCAATGACTTACTATATCAGAAATCGGTGGGATTCACAAGCCATGCAAGATTGTAATGTAGGTGCAAGGCATTGGGGTTTATCACATCATCTGAATCAAGAATACTCTACATCTATGACTGGGACGTAGTGCCAGATGAGACATGATCATGTTACATGATGATCCAAAAAAAGTCTGAGCATGAGAATCCATTATGATTGTAATTATTATATACCAGTAGTACCGCACAAGGCGGTGACGGAAGTTTCAAAGATACGACACCTCTAGGAGAGGTGAGTTGTTGTGATTCATGGATGGTAGATAGAGCGAACTGATGGACCGAAAGGTGGTTGAGGCTCTAAGTCGATCTTTCTTTCTTTCTATCTTTCTTATGTTTCTTATCTGTCCTATCTTTATTATGTTTCTTATCTTCCCCATCCGTCTATCTGTCTGTCTATCTGTCTATCGGGCTATCTATCTATCTATCCATCATTCATTCATTCATTCATTCATTCATCTGTCTGTCTGTCTGTCTGTCCGTCCGTCCGTCCGTCGGTCTGTCTGTCTGTCTGTCTGTCTGTCTCTCTCTCTCTCTCTCTGTCTGTCTGTCTGTCTGTCTGTCTGTCTGTCTCTGTCTGTCTCTGTCTGTCTCTGTCTGTCTCTGTCTGTCTCTGTCTGTCTCTGTCTGTCTGTCTGTCTGTCTGTCTCTCTCTCTCTCTCTCTCTCTGTCTGTCTGTCTGTCTGTCTGTCTGTCTGTGTGTCTGTGTGTCTGTGTTTCTGTGTGTCTGTGTGTCTGTCTGCCTGCCTGCCTGTCTGTCTGTCTGTCTGTCTGTCTGTGTCTGTCTGTCTGTCTGTCTGTCTGTCTGTCTGTCCATCTGGCAACCTGTCTACCTGTCTATCTGTCTATCTGTCTATCTGGCATCTACAAAACCCTCAAGTTTAGCTCAATTTTGCAATGGTGCAGTTCCATCGCGCTTGCCACAAGAAGAGACGGTTGAACGTCCAAAAGTGGCCCGAACGTGGTTTGCTTTTTTCATTTTGACTTCGACATGTGCTTCGCAACGCAACGGCGTGCACTTTTTTCATCAACAGAGGCGCCTTTAGTTTTTTGACTTCCAAATCTGCTTCGCACCACAACGGATTGCAATTTTCTATCGCTCACCCCACCACATGGCTCCGCACCCGCCGCTTTGGAAAACATTGGAAAACCTCTACTTTTCGACCCGCAGCCACAAAACATTTGAAAAACATAGTGCTTCACGACCTTTCTACCTTTTCGCGCACCTTGATCTTCTTCCTACTGACTCTTTCTCTTCTACCTCTTTCTCTTCTGACTCTTTCTCTTCTGACTCTTCTCTTCTCTGACTGCTCCCACCATTGTTGCTGCATCTGTCCATAAGTCGGAAGTGTGACTTGTAAACTTCCTTCGGTTTTGGTTCTTACTGATACCTCAGCATTTTTGCCCAACTGTCATCCAAGAACTCTCCAGGCAAGTGCTGCGCAGCTTGGACGCTGAGCTTCAGCGTATCCAGCAGCTTGAAGCCGACGCAGCACCTGCTACCGCGCCCGGCGTGCCCACTGCAACGCCCGTGGACGTGGACGAGGAGATCTGCCCCGGCAAAGAAGCCTGGCGTATTAAGTTTAGGGCGGAACATGAGGTGGCCAATTTTCAGGGCAAACATAGAGGAATTACTTCAACAAGAGTTGCAGTAATATCTATGTTATTGATTTAAAACACTAAATAAGCATCTATCGAATGAATTCTAAGTATCGATCGATTCGTCCGTGTAGCGATCTAGCTAAGTAAATATAAGCATCTATTATATGAGATGTAAAACTGCAATGGTAAACTGGGCGAATGGTTGGTGAACGGTTTTTCTTCCCTGGGTTCCGCCGCCGTCGCCTCTATCCCGAGCACTACTGTAATACTGCCATTAATTGTATCTATTAAAAATTAGCCCTGACTGAATTCAAATCATGTGCGGATCATTTGCTAGCATGTGCTAACCAGTAATCCCACAATTCCAGGATAATCCAAGTTACAAACGTATAGCCCAGGAAAGTCCCAAGACTCCAAACCGAAGATCCTCAAATTCCGCTTGGGAAGAGGTACGCGCAGCACTTGGGGCACTGGAAGTGAGCGAACAACATACTCAACTGGTGGTTGATTAGTCAATGGAGACGTCACCATCACATCTGGACGTTTGGTGATTCTGGCTTGGGATATGATAAATAAGGATATTTATTTAATAAAGAAGGACTGGTTGATTGATGATTGGTGATGAATCATTGACAAAAATCGGGATTGTGAGCTGAAGTGGGACAGTGGGAGAGTGAGGGGTTTCAACCACCGAACATGCAGGTTTAGGCACCAAACACGGGGAGAAAATCGGAAATGGTTGGTTCTTGATGGTGAAACAGGGTGGTTAGATAATTATGTTTTAATTGGGGTCATGAAGTACTCCAGTCTGATTCAGGAATGGGTCACTTTGACCCATCTATGGCAGATGAAGGTAGTGTCTGATCAATGGGGTGGATTTGCAGCTTTAACCCTATGAATCAAACTGCTGAATTATTCAGGGCTGAGTCACAAACGACATACAGTACTACTGGAATGGGGTCAACCAACTAGATGGGTAGTGTACTGTACCATCATTTACCACAGACGGGTGCCTGAACCACCAAGGATATCCAAGGTTGGAAGCTGATGGAAGCTCCTGGCCCAAAATTCGAACAAATGGCCACTGCACAACTTGGAAGCACTGAATTCATCAGTTTCATACGGTTTCCCATTTCTGATCGGCTTGTCCAAATATCCCAATTTTTGTTGATTCTTATCTCCAATGAATACGTTTGTCATATCCCCAAGTCATTGCAGTTTCAGTTATAAGTAGATTTGTATAGATATAGTTACAGTCATATAAAGAGGCCCCAGGAATAAATGGTATCAGCTTATAGTAGATATATAGCCATAGTTCTAGGGGCCCCATGTCCCAACCTCTGGAGGTTCGAATCCTATGGTTATACCAACTCCAGGACACCACAGCGCCGGTTGTGGTCCGCCGCAGCGAACAAGGACCAGGCCGCTGGGTGCAGGGAATACCTGCAAATATGTTGTGCATATATATATAGATATATTGTTAGTATATACATAGTAAATATAGACTATATAGTATGCATATATAGTTAGTATATATATATGTATAGTTAGTAAATACAATACATATATATATATATTGTGTATATTTTTAAATAGTGTATATATATACTGTTTTTATATATATAGTGTATATATATATATACTGTGTAAATATATATATACTGTGTAAATATATATATATATATAGTCAGTGTGTATTTAAATATGTAGTGTGTATATATATAGAGTATAAATATAGTATATATATTATACATAGTATATATAGTATTTATATATATTATATATATAGTATATATAGTATATATAATATATATAGTATATATAGTATATATAATATATATAGTATATATAGTATATACAGTATATATAGTATATATAGTATATACAGTATATATAGTATATATAGTATATACAGTATATATAGTATATATAGTATATATAGTATATATACTAGATATAGTATATATAGTATGTATAGTATATATAGTATATTTAGTATATTTAGTATATATAGTATATATAGTATACATATTATATATAGTATATATAGTATATATATAGTATATATATATTATATATACTATATATATAGTATATAGTATATAGTATATATATAGTATATATAGTATATATAGTATATAAAGTATATATAGTATATATAGTATATATAGTATATATAGTATATATAGTATATATAGTATATATAGTATATATAGTATATATATAGTGTATATATAGTAAAAATATAGTGTATATATAGAGTACATATATATATATATGGTGTGTATATATATAGTGTATATATATACAGTGTGAAAATATTTATTGTATTTACAGAGTTTATACATATATCAACTATTATTTATAGTATATATACGGTGTGTAAAAATATATATAGTGTGTATGTATATTTTTAGTGTATATATATATATAGTGTATATATATATACAGAGTATATGTATATATATATATATCAACTATTATTTATATATATATATACCAACTATCAAATATGGGTTGACGGATATGTTTATACATATATACATTTATATATATAAATATATACATTCATATTTATTTAGACCACAATAGTATATCATGTTAATACCATTTGATATTTTGTATTTAGATATGTTGGGTACCATTTGAGGTCGTAGATATCAATAGTCTTCAATAATGAGATTTAAAAGTGTCATTCTTGATTCATATGACACCCCAAAGACATGTGTCATCAGTGGGGATACTATGATATGAATCAGCGGATGATAGTTGTGAAGAATTATACTCTCAATTTGCCGACGGTTTGTGTGAATTTATGAAGTTGGGGCCGCGAATGTCGGATCCTTTGCTGTCGTTATTTGTAGACCACTCGTTGTGTCGCTTGTGAACGGCAGATGAAGAGAGCGTTGCTTTCGCCAGCCTTCCGACGGTGGCGGAAAAACGCAGGAAGCACATGCCGCTTGGCATAGAGGGAGGAATATGATAGCGATGACATGTGATGACATGTGATGACATGTGATGACATGTGATGACATGTGATGACATATGATGGACATATGATGATATGATAACCCATAATTACATGCGTTTTGAACTAGATGCTTAAGGTAGCACGCAGGCACCGTCGTTAGCCCAAGACAACTACCTACCCTCATATGATCTCATTTTATGTAATTTTGAATATTTTGAAATCCTCATACCAGATTTGCCACAGCTTGTGAGGGGGTCAGGGTTTTCAGGGAATGATGATACTCCTCCCGACGCCACATTTAGCATCTCCATCCAATCAAACCCATTTCGCGATGGTGTTTTTGTTTGTAAGCCTTTGTTGTGATAGCAGAAAACCCCATCCCACATCCAATCGAAGTCAAACCCGAGAGCTCACCAGCATCCCCAAGAATTGGTCGATTTACATGTTTTTTTGTGTTCATTGCAGTGGACAAAGAGGCCATCCATGTTGCTGTTCCCGATGTTATAAGGCCAGCCGACACGGTGACACGGTGACGCATGGTAAAATTTATTTCAGGTCCTGGATCCATAAGAAGGTGGATCAAAAGTTCCCGGGCGGCCGCGAAAGTGTGCGAGGCGAGACGGATCAGCGGTCAGCAGGGGACGGGAAAAATACGTAGTTCAAACTTGTTCAAACAGTATCTAAAATTACCGAATATGAATTTTAACAATTCCATACATATATATATATATATGTATACCAATATAAATGATATGTGTATGATCCATTGACATCACATTGTCACAGAATTGAAAGGGTGACTACCCCAACATTGACCAAACATCATGGAGCGCACCACGTCCCGCACCGCGTCCCATTTCTCGCTGTGGTTTCAGGCGATGGCAAGCTGCAACCGGTGTTCTCGCGATTGCATGCGCAGTATGCCACAGACACGGTGAGGATGGCTGCGATTAATGAGTTTGACCAGGTCGCTTAGTTACAATGTGACTGGAGGGGAAAAGATCCAGCCATACATACCATACCTACCAGACATACCATACTTTCCAAACATGCCATACCAGACCGGCCATACACACCATACATACCCAACATACCATGCCACACCCCCACCACACCACAGGGAGGGAGGGGGACAGTGCCACAACCCCACCACACCACAGGGGGGGAAGGGGGAAGATCTCATATGGGGCCAGTATATGGGACCCATCCCATGGGGGGGAGGGGGGGTGGCAGGGCTTGGTGCATATATATATATATGCATATGTTCAGTTGTTGGTTTAGGTTTACATTTAGTTTTGTATTTGTTGATCGCTTTATTTGCCTATATAGCATATCTCTTGTTGACATCGATGTGTGTTCTCGCAAAGGTGGAGTTATGTTTTCATGATTCCGTTCGCATGTATTTTATTGTGTCACATCATGTTCAAAACAGGGAATTTAACATAGCTATGGCCATTTAATTATATATATATAGTTGATTTATACCTGTTAAAAGGATGATTTACCATAGCTACATTAGTTTACTAGAGGGTATTTCACAGAGGGTATTTCATTCGATTGCACCTTGCAAGTTGGCTGCAATTGTTGGCCAGCATAAGTCGCCTCTCCCAACACGACCCCCAAAAAGGTTGCTTTCGAAGAAGCGGAACAAGAATCCTGTTGGGTACGTCTAGCCAGGTTCGGCAGGGGTACACGCCTTGGGTACGACAGAGTAGGACAGACTGCCTCAATAGCCACAAAAGCTCAAACATGTTTTTATCCGAGAAAGTGGCTAAAGTGGCATTTCTATCATTTCTCTGATCATTTCAAGTCTTGCTCAAAACTTTCATGTTCTTTCCTCTAGTAGGTTAAACCCAGCAATAAACCCAAAGCACGCAATTATGGGAAAGGATATACGGTCCATGTGGGTATGGTTGATATTGTTCCATGCTAAGGCTGCTAAGGCCCAAGAAAGAAAGATTGGGTACCGTGAAATTTAGTGGCGGATTTACCACATTGTACCAATCAGGTACAGGTGCAGTTGGTTGTCCCGTGTACAACGGTCAAATGATGACATGCATTTATGCAGAGGGGGGTAACGAGATGAGTTGGATCATGTTAGATTTATCCAAGTTGAACACATCTTTACGTCTACTATAGTTTAGACAGTTAAAAAGTCAATTGAAGATACACTTGATGAAAGGCTGGCAGAACTTGGAAGCATTGCCAGGAATCCCTTCTTCGAGCGGATTTCACTTACGATGATCTATTTCAATGCAGTTTGGCTTGCGGTGGACATCGAGTTCAACGACTCTGACTTGGTCATTTTCTCAGCTTGGCATGACTTTTGACAGTTGTTTGATAGTAGTTGATATATATATATATATATATATTACAGTATAGTATATATATATAGTTGCTTTGATGAGTTTTCATGGTTGTTTTGATGTGTTTGAATGTTTCCTCAGGATCATTCCAATGATATGATGCAGCATTGCAGCATTCAATGGTTGTTTGACCGTACTTCCTGGGAGTTTAGTCTTAATACTATTTATGATTATTTATGTGTCTTGCAAAGTCATGTATGTTCACATGTACATTATATATACATGTGATTACATGTGTATGTATATAGTAGTATGTAGTCTATATAATATATAGTTGTAGTTATTTACCATAAGCCATACATTTGTGTATATTGTTATATAAATTTAGGTGTATATATATATATATACATATACATATATATACATGTACATATTTAAATATATATATATACAAAAGTTGCAACAAACAACAAACCTATTTGCACATCTTCGACGATTTCAAATTCACCGAGTGTCACGCCAGGTGATGTTCTCTTCGCCCGTCTTCATTGTGGCCGAGGTGGTCTTTTCGGTCTATTTTACCGCCGAGGTGATCGTCAGGTACATGTTATATACGTCCACAATGAAGCTTAGTGCTGGAAATAGGGATGGCTTGGAAAGACACAGATGACATTTTTTATGTTTGATGATGTTTCTGTGAGTGTGTGTTGTGGATGTTTTGGATCTTATAACGGGGAAATATTTTGAGGTTTAGATTTCAACTGACACCAGGCCACCAGGCGCTGACAGCTGCAGCCATCACCAGCCTTGTGGCCAACTATGTGTTCTCTTTCATCCTGAAACCCAAGCAGGTTCTTTTCTTCACATGGGTTTTATATATATATACATATAAAATCAACATGACTTAGGGACTGACCAAAAATGGAGAATACCCCAGAGCTACCACGCCACATTCTGATTTTACGAGTATAGAATAGTATAGAATGGCATCATATATATATACATATATGTATGTATGTATGTATGTATGTATGTATGTATGTATGTATGTATGTATGGTATGGTATGGTATGGTATGGTATTGTATTGTATTGTTTTGTATTGTATTGTATTGTATTGTAATGTATGTATGTAATGTATGTATGTATGTATGTAATGTAATGTCATGTCATGTCATGTCATGTCATGTAATGTAATGTAATGTATGTATGTATGTAATGTATGTAATGTATGTAATGTATGTAATGTATGTAATGTATGTAATGTATGTAATGTATGTAATGTATTTAATGTATGTAATGTATGTAATGTATGTAATGTATGTAATGTATTGTATGTAATGTATGTAATGTATGTAATGCATAAACTGTATGTAATGTATGTAATGTATGTAATGTATGTAATGTACGTACATATGAATGTAATGTATGTAATGTATGTAATGTATGCAATGTATGTAATGTATGTCATGCATGCAATGTATGTAATGTATGTAATGTATGTAATGTATGTAATGTATGTAATGTATGTAATGTATGTATGTATGTATGTATGTATGTATGTATGTATGTATGTATGTATGTATGTATGTATGTATGTATGTATGTATGTATGTTGGTATGGTATGGTATGGTATGGTATTGTATTGTTTTGTTTTGTATTGTATTGTATTGTATTGTAATGTATGTATCTAATGTATGTATGTATGTATGTACGTATGTATGTATGTACGTATGTATGTATGTATATATATATATATACATAAATACTATTGTTTGCATGGGGAAGCATCTTACGCGCTGCGGCAAAGGAAAGCCTTCAAAGATCTCTGGTTTCTTTTCGATTTTTTCCTGGTCATCATGATGGTCTCGGAAACCTGGATCGTTCCCGTTTTTGTCCTCATCATGGACAGCACCTTGACGTAGTATACGGCGACGTTTGAAGCGATGGTTTTATGGATGCTATGGTGAAAGTGAGCGTACCCGATGTGATCAAAGATGGTTTGGACATCTCCGAACTAGATGGTCATTTATATAAACGGGAAAAACATCGAACTAAATCGTGGCTTTTGCAGCAAACCAAGTTTGATTACCAGGGGGACTATCCCAAAATAATCGAATTTTGCAGGTGAAGTATGAGTTTTTGAACCATCGACGTAGATGTACATTGTACATTCACCACCCTTTGTAAAAAGGTAAAAGGAAGTTGGTGAAGTTGCCTCCATGGGTCAATTGATTCCCCTTTTGCTCCTCATTGCTACTACTGCTGCTACTGGCCAAATGCAGCTTCCGGAAGATAGAGAAAAACCATATTGATGGGGCCATCTAAACGTGTTTGTTACACACTCAGACTGGCCAGCCGATCACGAAAGTCCCGAGACACATTAGAGAAACCGAGAAACTGTTGTGGATTATGTCTGCAGTTTTTGCCTGTTGACTCCATTTTTTGTTGATTGAATATGATTGAACCCATGTTTCATGTGACATCATGTGACCCAGTTTTGCCGCTCATAAAGTTAGGACATGCTTACATCATCTTACATCCCATTTGTTTCTTGGTGAAATCCAATGTGTTGCTGGACAGTTCACTATTTGGGGCTGATGTCCTCATTGTGATTGTTGATCTCCATTTGGGTGCTTGGATGGGTAGTAGGTTTTTCCTTTCAACAGGCCAATGATTTCACCAAAACCAGTAGGTCTGCAGTTTTTTGGGCTTGGTTTTCTCGATGTTTTTTGTGTGTTTTCTCAAAGTGTTTTTTTCTCCTCCATGACGCCCTTCCCAAAAAAGTCTGTGTCCAGCTACTACCTAGAGAACATCTTAAACATACAGCTTACAATTATGTACATATATATATATATATGATGTATATACAGTACAAACATGTATATAAGATGGATGGCAGCACCCATTGATCCCACCAATGAATCTGCCACATATAAAATGGTAGTTGTTGTTTGGGTGGCCTACCATAATTATATATATATACATACAGGTACCCAATGGTATATGATGGTAGAGGATAGACATGTTATCACATCGTTGTTTATATATCCCATCATATGTTTGGTTACGTTGTATTTATTACCATATGTTATATAACGCGTATTGTGGGTTGTATATGTACTATATCTATATTACATTCCCAGATTTTGTCACTATGAAAATTATTTTCTCATTATATTATTATATTCCCATATTTTCCCTTTGAAAGTTGCCACAAACCAACCGACCGACCGACAGACCGACCGACCAACAAACCAACCAACCTTGGAAGGTGCAGAGTATATGGATACTCTCTAGTAATTTGACAGTTTATAATTTGACAGTTTACTGATTACTGGTACTATGGGAAATCACAATTTCCTACAGCTTTGTTAAATTACCAGAGAGTATATGATAGGCTTTCGAGCAGTGACAGACACTCATTGGTTTATTGTCAATATTGTGGTTCTACTAAGATTCTACTAAGCTATTTTACGCAGGGATCAGCCAACAATCCCTTCTTTATGGTCATCCCATCCCATAATAGGAATCCAAAGATTATGGCTCCACATATTCCTTTTTTTTCAGGATTTTAATCTCCATCCCCCAGTATCCCCGTTATAGGTACATGCAGTACCTCCATTTTTGGGGGTCCTGATATTCTCAAGGATATATTGATATTATTCCCAATTATTCCCATTATAAATGATAATCCTATTAAATGCCTATGTGTTTCCCATTATAATCCCAGTATATTTCCATATTCCCATCTTATCCCATTATATTCCCATGAACTTTCCATGGACATTTGGGTTTCCGCTGGTCCAGGCAATAGCGAAGGCAGCAACCTGAGCCGTACGGTGTCGGTGCTGCGTGTGGCGCGCGCGCTGCGGGTGCTGCGCACGGCACGGATCGTGCGGGTGGCGCGGTATATGCCGGAGCTGATGTGACTTGGACCATCAAAACATGGGGAAATATGGACGGATTTTTCCATGCGAATATAATGGGGAAATATGGGAAAATCATGGGAATATTGGATTATGAGATTAATATGGGACTAGTATGATTAGTATGACTTCTGATGATTATGGGATTAGTAATGGGGTTTTACTGGGGAATCACATAAATATGGGACTTGGTCATATCATAATTGGACTTGGACTGATAAATATGGACGGATTATGATTACGGGATAATAATTGGGAAATGCGTCCATATTATTATGGAGAATTACAATTAAGATGGAAAGTAGAGGGGAATTAATGTAGAGCAATAGTAAAGTTTTACATAATTCTACAACTTTTATGGCTGGTATAAACCGTCAAAATATTGGTGGTTTTATTCTTCTAAACCCATTTTGATGGATTGAATTGGGGAAAACAATCACATTTTGGGGTTTCAATGGATCTGTGTTCTTGGGAAAATCTTAATCGAAAACCATGTTTTTACCCTTAGACTTCCAGGTTTTTCCGCAGATTTTCCCTTCAATTGTGGGATTGGAACTGACCTGACATTAACGAATCATGTCGCTAGTGCAAAGGGAGCCATGAAAGGCCAAATCGAGGACCCTAAGGGCTTGATGTATATGTAATATATTGTAATATTATATACATAAATATAAGTAAATAAATATATATATATACGTATATATAATAATATATATATACAATATAACATATATATATGTATAAGATGATATATATATATATATATGTATATAATATATATACATATACATATACATATATATCTATATAATATATATATATACATATAATCTACCCCGTTATCTTAGAATATAGAATTGAAATTTTGGCTTCCCAGGGCATCCCCATAATTGAACTTGAAAACAGTTACTTAGAATACAGTTGACGTTAAAAAACCTATACTTAGAATATCGTTGGGCCATATAAATTCTTTCACTTTTCCAGACGAATTCGTCATTTTTCCATAGAAGTTCTTCACTTTTCTTTATAAATCCTTCACGTTTCCATACAAATTCTTCACTTTTCCATATTTTTGCCCATACAAATTCTTTCACTTGTTCAGTCAAATTCATCATTTTTCCATATATATATATATTTCTTAATAAATCCTTCACATTTCTATACAAATTCCTCACTTTTCCATATTTTTTCCATTTAACTTCTTTCATGTTTCCAGACAAATTCATGATTTTTCCATATAAATTCTTCACTTTCCTATAACAAGTCTGCACGTTTCCATACAAATTCTTCAGTTTACCATATTTTGCCATACAGATTCTTTTCCATATAAATTATTTTCCCTTTTCAGTCAAATTCTTCACTTTTTCCATATGCGTTTCTTCATTTTCTCCATAAATCCTTCACATTTCCATAAATCCCGACACCGGTCGTGGTGGATACCCTTCGGTGAGCTTGAAAAACTCATTTTTTTAATTCAATATAAAAAAAAAATGATCATTTCGGGGGAGCTGTTTTTTTGTTGAAACGTTCCAGTTTAGGAACTTCAGATATCCAGGATTGCTTCTACCCAAAGGGAATTACGTATATAATAATTATTCATGAAGGGGACCCTATTCCTTGCAAAACTACATACATAGAATATAGGTCCCCAGTGAAAATATTCATCATTTTTTGAAGGAATGCCACCTAATTCCATTAGTTTTCATTGCAAACTTGTTGCAAACTAGTTTTTTTCATAGTTCTCCGACACCGGTCGTGGGGGGTACCCTTCGGTGAGCTTGAAAAACTCATTTTTTTAATACAATATGAAAAGAAATTGATCATTTCGGGGGAGCTGTTTTTTTGTTGAAACGTTCTAGTTTAGGAACTTCAGACATCCAGGATTACTGCTCCCCAAAGGAAATTACGTATATGATATATATTGATATATACCCTTATACTTTTACATGGAAGATACCCCATTCCTTGCAGAACTACATACATAGAATATTGGTCCCCAATGAAAATAGTTAACAATTCTTGTGGGAACACCAACTAATTCCAGTAGTTTTCATTGCAAACTATTTTTTTCCATAGTTCTCCGACACCGTTCGTGGGGGGTACCCTTCGGTGAGCTTGAAAAATTCATTTTTTTAATTCAATATTTAAAAAAAAATGATCATTTCGGGGGACCTGTTTTTTTGTTGAAACGTTCCAGTTTGGGAACTTCAGATATCCAGGATTGCTGCTACCCAAAGGGAATTACGTATATAATAATTATACATGAAGGGGACCCTATTGCTTGCAAAACTACATACATAGAATATAGGTCCCCGGTGAAAAATACTCATCATTTTTTTAAAGGAATGCCACCTAATTCCATTAGTTTTCATTGCAAACTTGTTGCAAACTAGTTTTTTTCATAGTTCTCCGACACCGTTCGTGGGGGGTACCCTTCGGTGAGCTTGAAAAACTCATTTTTTTAACACAATATGAAAATAAATTGATCATTTCGGGGGAGCTGTTTTTTTGTTGAAACGTTCTAGTTTACGGACTTCAGATATCCAGGATTGCTTCTACCCAAAGGGAATTACGTATATAATAATTATTCATGAAGGGGGCCCTATTCCTTGCAAAACTACATACATAGAATATAGGTCCCCAGTGAAAATATTCATCATTTTTTTAAAGGAATGCCACCTAATTCCATTAGTTTTCATTGCAAACTTGTTGCAAACTAGTTTTTTTCATAGTTCTCCGACACCGGTCGTGGGGGGTACCCTTCGGTGAGCTTGAAAAACTCATTTTTTTAATACAATATGAAAAGAAATTGATCATTTCGGGGAAGCTGTTTTTTTGTTGAAACGTTCTAGTTTAGGAACTTCAGACATCCAGGATTGCTGCTCCCCAAGGGGAATTACGTATATAATAATCATACATGAAGGGGGCCCTATTCCTTGCACTTACCCAACCTAGACCATTTCCCATGGATCTCCACCATTCGTGGGGGGGACCCTTTGCGGTAGAAAAAAATCTACTTTTCAGAACACAAAGTAATAAAAAATCAAATTAGTATGTGAAAACTGCTTGAAAAAAAAGCAGAAACAGGCTGCATAGAGGTGTACAAAGGCTTCCAGAGCAAAGGCCAAATGGGGAGAAAACAGATGAGCACGAAATGTGGGCATATTCTAAGTGGAGTTGCGTTCGAGTTCAACTGCATAATTGGAAAAACGGATATTCTAAGATAACGGGGTTGATTATATATACCTGCACCCTCCCACGGTGTTCCTTTTCTTGGCTTTTACTAATGACCAAGAATTTTTGTTCCGAACAAAAATAATTGTCAACAAGAATTTGCTCAACTAACATGGTGAAATATTCCCAACACATCTCATTAGTTTTAAAGCATACCCTGGTGAAAGCCCATCTCCATTGCACATTTTTTCTATTTGCCTGAGCTCTGTGCCCATACTTTGCGGATCTCAACCAAATACTTGTGAATGGTTGTGCGCGAAACACTGCTGGGATGTGCGGTACGCGATATGCGAGAAACGACACCAATGAAGTCTTCAAGAATCGGAGTTGCGAAAGCACCAGGGCTAAGAGCCAACTCCTGACCCTTTGCCAATGCTTCTGCCAGTTCTTCATGCCAATGTGCTGAGAAATGCGACTTTGGAACTATTTTGAACAATGTCCAATTGCGCTTATGCCAGTAAAGCTGCAACTCCACGTAGGCATGTAGAAACGTTCCCAAACAACATTTGCCACGGCGTTGTTTTTCACGGCACCAAAAAATTCGGTCACCAGTGTAGGCCAAACGCATGAACTCGTCAACACCCTCAAGGCCAGCCAAGGTTGTTTGAAGCACCCAGCACAGCACAAAAGGTACAGATGTGAGAAAATCTATCAACCATTGAATGATAAGATTGCAATCTGACGCCTTGCAAGTCATTTCAGGGTAATCTCTGTTTTGTTTCCAGCCCAAGTTGTCGACAGTAAACTCCTTCATATCTCGCACATGTTTCTGCTTGCAATCAAGCCAACTTTGGAAATGGGTGTAAGCTTCATCAAGCCTATGTTCCTTGCTGTTTCGAACTCGGCCGTCCAAACTGTTTGGCACAAAAATATCCATGGGCCCCGCCAGCATACAGATAATCGAAGCTGCAAAATTTCTAGCGCAACCATGAGGCAACATATGCATCAAGTCCCAACGTATGAAACCAGGGTGGCTAGATCCAGGTATCAAAGCCAGCGGTGGGGCCACATCCCGCTTCCACGGCACCGATTGGAAAACTGTTGCCCGCCACAATGCCTGTCTAGACATATCTTCGAAAGGCACACTGTAAGTGTTTGCATGACAATGGGGACAAATGTCCTTTTTGAGATGTCCACGTGTTGCCCTGTAAGCTTTAGTCTGAAAAGGATGGTCCCCAGCCAAACCCAGAAAAATCAGGAAAAACCTTTGCCCAGAACGTGTTTGAATGCCATCAGAGTGAGCCTTGAAAGCAGACTTTGCACACTCTTCCAAAAGTTTGTCAATGACAATGTTGCCAGCCACAGAGCCCTTGTTGAACCTGGAATACATTTTGTGCGCACATGAGGTAATCAGAAACATTCTCTCCAAGGCATTTTTTCCAACCCGTAGCAGCGAACCCCAAGAGAGCTGAAGAACTGGTTTTCGACGGTGGCCAGTCCCCTCATCCCCATGCAACATGCAAGGGATACAATGACCAAGCTCATTTGAATGGGTTTTGAAGACTTCGTTGTTGGGCTCCAAGCATCGCCATTTCTCCCAAAACTTAACCAACTCTTCAGTCCAATCGCTTTCCCTTGAAACCGGATGGTTAAGGAGTTTTTCCGAATACCGTTCTGAATCCAAAAGAAATTTTGCCATATCGCAGATGCTCAGCATTGGGTGAAGGATTGGTTTTTTCCTTTTCCGTCTCAGCCGCGTAGGAGTTGGATGAACCTTCAGGGAAACCCGTTGGTGAGGAAAAAAAACGTGTAAGGAATCATATCAAGAACTACAAGTAAAAATACCAAAACATGAAAAAACAAATTGAACATATCCACCAGGTTGACGCCAAAGCACATGCTTCAGCCAGCTAATGGGAACATTCAACATAAAGCCGCGCTTGTGCAGGTGCCGCGCAAAATCCCGGGCTTGATTGGCTGGCTTTGATTTCGCCACACTGCCTAGCTGTTGTAATATGATTTTCTCTTTTCCCAAAACTGCCACATCTCCAGCACCTTTGGCCTGTTGGATGGCCGCGTCTGCCGACCGGGCCTGGGCCAGAGTCAGCAGCTATACTGGTAGGCCCCTCTCAAGGGGACAGTGTAAAGAATAATACATTATAATATAGCATATAATTGTTTTTTGAAACCCAATTATATGTTTTAGGAATATAGGCACAAGAGCTATAGCTATAGTAGGCTATAAAGGCTAGGGCTTTATAGTTATATAGCTAAGCTGGTTTTTAAACCTAACGATGGTGGATAGAACTGTAGTTGAAAGGAATGATAAACCCATACTTATAGTTGGAGGATTCCTATATAATAGCAATTGGGTTAAACAAAACAACTTATTATATATAATATACTTTATAAATATTATAAGATGTTTTTGTTTAACCCAATTGCTATGATGGTAAAAAACAAAATAATCAGCCCATGCGCTTATAATTGGAGTTGTGTTTTTTAACCCCATGACGATGGTGGATAGAACTGTAGTTGAAGGGAATAATAAACCCATGCACTTACAATTGGAGGATTCCTAAAATGATGGCACCCCAAAACCATATAGGTTTTAATAGTCAAATGGATTTTGGATGATTTGGGGCATTCCATTTCAGGAAACCAATCACTGGGGGGCACTACCCTGTATAACCGGGCAACACCACCTTAAGACATTGCTCAATTTGATGCTGTGGCATTTCCGTATATCAAATGACAAGGACTTGTCAAAATATTCAATGGGAAGGGTATGCGTTATGCCAAGGCGCAACATAGGTTTTCAGAACATCTTGAACCACTGCTGGAACTTCATCACCTGCGAGGGGAGATGGACCCACCATCACTTGTCCGCATAGCTTACTGGGGTATAAGAGGGCATTCTGGGGTGATAGCAATTCTATTTAGCACAGGATCCATGGACGCATTCCTGGAATCAACACCTTTGCAAAGGACGCACATTTTTTTTTAAACATCCCATGGTAGCGGCATCCCGCAGACATACAGCCATATAGCTGATAGCTCTTCTATCCAGTGGCCCACAAAACGGCCAGGCAAATGTCAGCCCACCACAGCGCCAAGAAGAAAACAATTTTACACGTGTTTTTTTCAAAATTCCTTCATGCAATGTCATTGCATGACAGCCATGAGCCATGACAGCGCTGTTCTGGCCAGCTGACAGGCTGGACCGGGACCGGAGGAAACATCGACACATCGATAAAGGCTCAAACATCGCCTTCCTTGGCGGGCTTAGCCTTTGACTTTGCAGAAGTCTTGGCATAGAACGTCCTTGGCTTCAAAAACCCCAGGAATCGGCGTGAACTTATCTAATTCACATTGTTCAGTGTACACACACACATGTTTTCTTTAACATTGTTGTTGAATGCAGTTGGGATTCTTCACCTGCGCATGGATGTTGCCAAAGTTAATGCACCTCGAGTCAAACATGAAATTTGAATTCTATAGGACCCATGAATAACCACTTGAAGGTGGGAATACGTGAGCACCAATCAATAAGATTGTTTGATCTAGGCTGCAGGCTCTACCCGGATCTTTTCACAGCATGCTGCATAGGCTTTCTTCCTAAGATGATGCATTGGTTTGTTCATGGATGAATGGCCCATATCGAAGTGAACCATATTTCAAGAATTAATCAGATGCAGCACAAGATGCTCCCGGCCATTCGGGCCAACCTCCACTGATCCAAGCTCCTGGTACAAGCTGCTCAGCTTGCCTGAGCCGGTCGGCAGGCGATGCAGGGGATGGACACCATGTGATGAATGCAGACTTCTCGCAACAAAGAGGACTGGCTGCGCCGAGCAGCTTGCACTCTTCTCTAGGTTCTCCAAGTCTTTCCTTATTTAAAACAACAAACGGGTTACAGAAATATCCAACGGTTGGCATTATTAACCTGTGAATTTGACATCCTAGCAGAAACTGAAATCAAATGGAAAAGCTGATAGTCAAAGACAAAGACTCTCGTGCCCCTTGGCACTGTCCTTTTCCAACCGTTCCCGTGTGGTCTTCAGGAGAGCTTTTTTCGCAAGACATGATTTTTTGTAAGCCCCGATGTATTCGGTAAGGGACTCTTCCCCCTCAACAGCAGGAAAATCCACCATCTTTTTTTTGGGTTTTGCATCACCAGCGGAGCTTTCAGTGTCGTCATCGTCCATCACATCTCCAAGGGAAAAGTCCGTATCGTAAATCCCCCAGTCTTTCATCTCTTGTTCAAGTTCTTTCATTTTTTCATCACCAGCCTCAACATCATCCCGGACCTGGACGAGGTATTTGATGGCTTTGTCATCATAGATGCATTTCCTGCCCAGTGACATGACATGTTTGAAGAAAATAAGAGGGGCCAATGCATTGAATATCAGTGACACACTAATATTTGCAACAAGGGAGTCTTTGTCATCTTTCGCTTTGTGCAGTACTTGACAGCACCCTCCACTTTTGTCCTAAGCTACGGGTTGGTTTGTGAGTAGGGTTCAATGTGTGAAACAATGAACAGGTCAAACATGATCTTTCAGAATCAAGTTTATAGGACACCATGTACTTGAACATGTTTAACATTGACTGACAGGCAAGCAACTCATTCCAACCCAAGGTGGTCTTGAGTTCTTCTTCAGTATGCCATGAGTAACCCTGCAAGTTGCGGCGCCAGGACTTCGCTGTGTTGCGAAGGGTGACCAAACACTGAAGCTTGGCCTGACATCGGCGAGCGGTTCATGAGTGGATATGCAAAAACTGATCCATAGAAAGTGGGAACAGGAAAAACTGAAATATATCGAACACATTATATACATGTATATATATTATATGTATATTATATATTATATTAATATACATCTCATAAAACATCATAGTATATTAAATATAGCCTTGTTCGTTGCGAAGTCATCAGTGGGTGTGTAGCAGCGGCAGACAAAATCTCGAAGTAGATGATCTCTCTTTGGTCCACCTGTCCAATCATAAATCAAATTCATAAATGACACAAGGGTTAGGGGTTCATGTGATCAATCTAGATTTTCAAAGCTGACATCAAACATATTTTTTCAAAACCGGAATGCACCTGCATGCCATGCATCATAGATGGCTTTGTCACACTGGTCTGACTTCCTGGTCAACCTGTAAAGGAACTGCCAGGCAGCAGGGTGAGTAGAAGAACTAAATCTCATGTCGGTCACCGGCACCACGGGCACGAGCACATCTTTCGGGCCGGTCGACGGCGGTGTGGGCAGGGCAGAGCTAGGGCTCGGGGTGCCCCCCCCTTGTGGGGGCGTGGGAGTTGCAACAAGACCTGCCTGGTTTGCATCCTTCTTCTTGTTGGTTAGGTCAAGTTTCTCCCTCAACCTGTCTTTCAAAGCACTTTTGGAAACATCTGGGGTAGCATCGACAGTACCAGCTTTCCGGGCTTCCTCATCCAATCTACGTTGCATGTTGGCTGACTTCTCCTTTAGGTCATCCAAAATGGACTGTTCATCAGCAACGAGTTGCATTTTTCTACCAACTGGGCATCCAAGCCAGCAAGTCTAGCTTCCTTCATGTCAAGTTCTTCTTTGATTTCTTCCTCCAAATCACGCATTCTTTTTTCTCGTTTGATACGTATCTCCTCTTCTAGTTCATCTTCAGCCTTCCTCTTTCTTTCTAAGAAATCATCAGTCAAGGCTTTCTCAAGTGACCTTGCATGGGCCTCCATACGGGATCTCAGCTGTGCCTCCAACTCAGCCGCATGGCTCGGCAAAGGATCTGGCACTGGCATCGAAGTTGGTGGCGATGCCTTTGCGCAAGCTTGTGGGGACCCCCTGGGTGGAGAACTGGGCTGGATGGCTCTCCTGGGAGTAACTGGTGCTGGCTCAACTGGCTCAACTGGCTCATTGGTGGATCCTCCAAGAACTGACCCTCCAGCTGAACCACTTGAATATCCTGACAGGGTTCCCAATTGAACAAAAACCAATGGTTGTATACCAATCATATTATAATATATAACATATAACTATAACATTGATCGAATTAGGTGGCATAACAAAACATTAAAAATGAATCAATTCATGTTGGCGGTTTCCTCGTCGGAGCTCGTTAGCTGCAGACAGAATTTCAGCTTTGAGGGCCATAGATTCCGGACTGTCTCCCAACCCTTTTATCAGAGCTTTCGTCTCAGGGGAAAAAAGACCAGTTTCTTCCTCATCCGGTTCACGCTTCACCTTAGCAATAAGGATGGAAATATGATTCATGACTGCATGTGTACGGTACTCAAGAAACACACATCAGCATGCAGCCCTCTTAAACCATTAAAGGTTTTTTGAAGACAAGAATCAGATGGTGTCTTTGAACCTGTTGGGGTGGTGGGCTGCGGCTGTTGGGCCAACCGGTCCATCCCATCTCTGAGCGTGCGGGAGGAATGTAACCGTTCAAGTCTTTCCGACATATTTCCCGGCTCTCTGGTTTGCAAATGGCTGCAATGGCAACTCCATGAATCAACTTACAACCTATTCTATACCGTAGCTTGTCATTTTGAAATGCATATGTTTGTTACCTATAATAGTCTATACATACCAGCATCGTATATCTTAAAATAGTTGCACACTATAGGGTGCCAATTGAGTCGGTTTCAACTATAAGAAAGCAGCCTTACACCCCAAGCACTCCCAGGCAAGGGGGGCAGTGCACCTTTGGATGGACCAGCTGCAGAAGTTTGCCTGGGACCTGGCAGCCGGTGGAAATGTCCATGGTAAGTTCCTATACATCACCTCTATCACCCCAAGCCACCATTTTGTACAGTGCCTTTTTTGTAATGTATTATTGGTGGTCAAAATTCAAAAAAATGCACTTTGCAAAATGGTGACAGGACGTGTTCTTTATATTATATGTTGTATGATGTTTTTCAATTATGCTTTATTATTGTTATATGCCGTTTCCCTGAAGATAAAAACGGCGTATCAAATGGTGGTGGGATTCCCAATGGAGATCCCTGCTAAAGGTTTCCCTATTAAACAAAATATCGATTGGCCCTTTGTTAAACCAATGGAATTGCATTGTATATCTCCAAGGTGTTTTACTCATGGTTAAACAGTTGGACAATATGCCTTTTGTGTTTCACCATATGGGAATTTTACGTTGACAATGTCTTTGATTTGGCACCCCACCATAAAACTAATGATTTCAGCCTGAAATTATAAGCTTGCCCAACCCTCTGAACGAAATGTGCCCTAAGATGTGTTGACACAAATTGGATTGGGATGAAATTGTCAGAACTATATCGCACAATTATTAACCCGGGGCATTGAACAACAAATCAGCACGTGACCAATAAATTTGGGACAGGTGTGATGGACCATGTTTGGGATAGGGCTTTGAAATTGCCTGGGCTATCAAGATGAAAGTATGGGTAACATTCAAAAACATATCAAACTTTTGGTGGCACCCCCATATTGGACTGGGAAAGCTGGGCATTTCTAAACCATTCTCTAAAATCCCCAATAGATCCCAAATGTGAAACTTTGCCAATGTCCTGTGGATGAAGGAACCCAAAGAAAAACCACAAACCATGGCAATCCCTTCGCATGGCCTTTTTATTTGGTATTAGCGCCCTAGGATTCTGCAACAAGACACATTTTGGTTGCTGATTTTATGATGTCACCCTGGTGAATTGTTATGGGTACCTTTGGAACCACATCAAACATGCTACCCCATACAATATTCCATAATTATATTGTGAACAAGGATCCCAAGACGTTAACAACTATCATTTTTGGCATCTTGGGTGGCCAAAAAATTCTTGCGCATTCTTGCGCAAATTCTTGGCTTTCTTGCGCAAATTCTTGGCTTTCTTGCGCATTCTTGCGCGGCCATTTTTTGACATATTGTTGTGTTATTATACCAAACAATGACATATTGCCAAAATACCCAAGAATTTTGCGCAAGATAGCAAATAAGCTGGTTCTGTTGTGACAATTTGGATTGGTCCCAATTTGATTCAACAGGGGGCTAAAAAAATAATAGCCAATTATATCAGTGGGATGGTGACCCAAATTATTCCATACTTTGCACCCCCCCCAACCAGATAAATCTATTTTCCCATTGAGCCAGGCTCTCGCTATGTAGGTACCCAACACAACTGGGCAGAGCAGGGATTCTTAATTTGGAAATTGGGCACGGAAGCTGCGCAGTGTGCCACTTATGAGAAAGCCTCGGCATATGCCTCTGGCAAATTTATGAATCTACTTTGGGACAAATATGTGATCACATCACCCATCTTGGCATCCTTCCAAAGCTTCGTATTGGTAAGAGATTTGATGAGGGCTGGGCCAGATGCACCACCAGAATCCTTCAGGGCAAGACCAAGAAATGCGAATACCCCCAGAATTGATGGGTCTCTTTCCGTAAATTGTAAACTTTTAATCGAATCGCTTATTTTGGGGTACTTATATGGTGAAATTGTCTACAATGGAGTACCAGTGTAGTAGACAGGTTATCCCTTGTAATTTTCTTGGTGGTTTGTCACTGCTAAAAACCACAAGATACCCAAAAAGGAACCTTTGTGGCGGCCTTCTTTGGGGGTTTGGGATGGAAAACCAACATGAAATTGCTGAAATTGCTATAATATATATGATATATATTATATATAGTATAGTGTTTACAGGCGATAAGAGTTTTATCGTTTGCATCAAGTAAGAATCTTGCCGTAATATGTATAAATATTATAGGAAAAATATAATGTTTTTTATGAAAGGATTTTGTTGTCCAGTCCTGCGGATTGCGCAGTGGCGCTGCGCCAGAACGGAAGCGGGGAAAGAGGGAGGCCACACGTCGTGCGAAGGGTTTCGTATACACCCTTGGCTTGGCCCAATAACAGGATTACATCCACAATAATGAACAATAACGATTGGTGAAAGTAAGGTATCAATCATAGCAAAAAAATAAACAGGTGCAAATGAGGAGCTGGGATTTTTTGAGTCGCCTTTTGACACCGTGGCATCGTTTCTTCCCCTTTTTATCGATGTACTGCTCAGCCAATGGCACAGAACCTTTCTTCTGTTCCTGCCAATTTTTCCATCTGAATTCGGAAAAATGACATTATCTGAATTAAAGTATACCCTATTTAACTCTTAATCAACATTTAAAAAATCAGATGGACCCTTCCCCCCAACATCTCCAGTTCAAAAGCCGGCCTGTCCTTGGTAAGTGTGCCAAGGCTCAACTGCTGGACCCACAAGCTGTTTGACCAAAGATTCGTCGGCTTGGGCGACTCGGCACCCCAATGCCGCATCCACATTCTTTGGCGGAACACCTTATGCAGCGGATCATGGGGTATTGCAATGTCAACCTGATATATATTATTGTAATTTATATAATTATACATCATATATATTATATCATATTACAAGGGAAAATTATGTCACACACAACTTAACCAAGTGGCTTTGCAAATGTATTTGCAAAAGAACCTCCAATGGGGAAACGATCTGAAGTGCGATCCACTTGGCTGCTCCAATAGAAAGCAATGGCCAAGGGCAACCAGGACCCAGCAAATGAGAATGGACCTTATGGATGGGTTGGGAAAGATATAAGTGCCATTTTAAGTGTGTTTACGGGGAATTCCTTGTTGTGGACAATAAGAAAAATTAAAAAGGTTCTCATCGAGGTACCTGCAAGCAAGTAAGTTACCTTGGGACACCGTCAGCTTGCTCGTATCTCCAAGAGGGAGCATGAAATTTCGTGAGGTCAGTGAAGATACCAAAAAGCCCATTGAACTGCAAACAGGCGCCAGGATCCCTACTGAATCAGGTTGAAGTTTCAGGACGGTCAACAATGCCAGCCTTGCTTGAAAGAATGTTCCCTTGAATGAAGGTTTCAAGAATACAATAGAAACCCTTCTTTATCCTTTTCCTGACCATGTTTTTTTTTACAATGGTCAGGAAAAGGAGTTGGAAATAGTTTGAACGTTTTTTTGAATCCACATTCAGGGGACAATTCTTGATTGGTTGACAATACATGGTTGGTTTTCACATTCCGGGGGGCCCACGCATATTTCAGAAGAGGCATTGCATTGAACCCCAACAAAAAAAATAAATGCTTTTATTATGCAGTATATCATGGGTACAACACCCAATTCCAAAGCGGACTAAGAAACGCCATTCCAGGAGGGGTGAGCATGTCCATGGCATTTCCCCCATAGATCACATCTAGGCTCACCCCTGCATAGGAGGATAGGCGTAGCTCTGCAGACACCATTGCTTCACCTGCGAACAGCTCTATGAATCGCCATACCTTGGAGCAGTAGGCAAGCTGTAAGGACACAATGCCAGGAGGGGAAGCCCCAAAACATCAATATATGATATATGTTGTAATAAAATATATGTTGTAATTTATATATCGGTTCAATAGTTTTGAATCAACATGAACCAACATGAATCATCAGTCATGGTTTCCAACCAGTCTGTATCAGTCTGTATCTTTGAGGGCCAAGACATAGAAAACATGTTACACTACACAACGATTGACTGGCATGTTTGGGGGCAAGCCAAGGCGCCCTCGATACATCATAATTTACAGTCCACATGATCAAAAGAAGACATATCGCCACATCCTGAGGGCGGAGCTTCATTGCACATTACAATTGGCAGTGTTGTTAGTCACCCCAGGTGGTTTTATTTGAACAAAACACTTTCAAACACCAGCCTTGGGCACCCTTGCAACAAACAAGGCATGCACTAGTTGCTCGATGCCCCAAGCCCGCATGGCGCCAGCCCTTTCTATCCACGCAAGTGACAGAGCCAAATCTATAGGCATTGGCATGACCCCTTAAAGAAGCAAATATACCAAATGTAAAATAATAATATATTATAATCAATGGGCAATGGATTTCCTTCCCCCACCAAAAAAAATAAACCTGTTTCATTCAGGATCACCCAGGTCCGTCCCACACACCCAAGCAGCAAACATGTCAGTGCCACGGCTGCTTGACCCAAGGTGCCTCTTAAGATTGGCAGATCCTCTGGGCATGCGCCGACCTCAGCGAGGAACAAGTAAAGAAGGTGAACTAGCCCGCAAAAGTGAAGGGGGAAGGGTGATGGCCAACAGTTTCATTGCCCCTGCTGAACATTTTTTAAGGTGTTGACAGGTGAAGTGGTGAAAAGACATGTTTTTTTCAATGGAACCTTTTGCGAATAGCTTTGGTTGAGACAACATCTAAGCAGCTGCATCTTCAGCTGAGATCACGCATCGCGTGGCAGCCCTGCAGTCAATACCGCAAGGATTGCAAACCTAAATCCAAAGTTCACATACTTTCCGCATGCGCCACACTCCCCAGTGACGCACACTACAGATTTTCACATGGTCGATCCTCCTCAAGTATGGCCAATGAGAAAAGCATTCCATGGCCCCACTGGAAGGGAAATTGCGAAGGTAATGTTTTAATAATGGTTCGCATGACCACCCTGAAGCCTATGACCAACCATGATCTACCCAGTACGCTCACGAAGAAAAACTTCGACTGTCTCAGCCAGCTCAGGTGAATGTCGATCTGCTTCTGGATTGTCCGTGAAGTAGCGGGCCTTGGCTAGAGCTGTTGGTGGTGATGATGGCCACATGCTCATGCACAAGGGGCCATAAACAGATGTGAAATTAAAATAAATTATAGATGTTTCAGCATGAATGGTGCTTAAATTACAACATTTCCATCGATCCACTCACAAGTCTTGAGGCAAGCCACAACATGATTGCACACAGCAATGTTGGTGGCCATACCACCAGCGCTCTCGCCTTCGCTGGCAAGCCACATGTGCTTGTCATCCTCTTTGCGTCCTGTAGTTGCAGCTCCGCAGGTAGACTGCATGATGTGGATGTGATGCACAGGGAATTGAAATCCTATATGATATATTTAAATAGTAATATAAAGTGGTTTAGATTTATATAAGTATAAAATAGTATAAATATGTTTAATCATGGCATAGCCCCCAACTCAATCCATCATCTATTTGAACCCCAAAATATGTCACACCCAGCAAGGCCCAATAATTGCAAAGAGAGGCACGCAAGCCACAGGCGCCCCTTGTCCAATATAGCTCCAGCCGGTAGTCAGAAAACACCTCAACCAACCTGAGCCGCAGCAGTCAATCATCTATGGACAGCCAACAATATCCCGAACATTCCAAAATTCCAAAACAAAAAGGTCCACCAGGATGAATATAATATGCTCGTTAGTGTTTGGGTTTGCTAGTTTGTCGCCAAAGATCAGGAATATTTCAAAAGAACATGGAAAAGGAAAAGGCTATACACACCCAACAGGAAACTTCTTGAACTCATCCCGCTTCTCCACAGCAACCGGGAGGGGGGCATCACACGCAGGTTTGCGAGCTTTGCGCTTGGGCTGGGAGTTCTGCTGCGAACCATCACCCATGCTCTTTCTTTTCTTCCCACCTGCACCTGCCTTTGCCTTTGCCTTTGCCTTAGGCCCCCCTTCCGCCTTTGGCTTAGGCTCCCCCTTCGCCTTTGCCTTTGCCCGTCCCTTTGCCTTTGGCTTTGGGGCCTCAGGTGCTGACCCAGAGGAAGGCTCACCCACAGCTTTCGCCTTTGGCTTTCTTTTCCTAGGCTCTGGCTTGTCAGCTTGCTCACTGCTAGAGGCTGGCTCTTTGGAATCTCCCTCATTGACAACACCCTCAGGCTGCCCGCTAGAAGCTTCATCAGCTGAAGGAAGGGAATCCTCAACTGGCTGTGCCTTTTTCTTTCCCCGACCTCTTCCTTTTCCTTTTCCCTTGCCTTTAGATGCCCTCAGATTTCTCTGGTCTTGTCGTGTGATTCCATCGCCATCAGACATAGCTTCTAAAGGGTCGATCCTCAGCTGAACCAACATGGACCCAAAAAAATACGGTTTCAAATCATATTTATCAGATGTTTTCCCAAAAAAATGTAACCGCTGAGTAGTGATGGTATGTTTATGGCATAGACTTGGGACCAAGAAAGGTATGAAAACCAAGCGCACTGCAAGTTTCATTTCGCCACGTTTCAGGGGAGCACCAGATGGCGCTGGAGAATCACCACCAATGCCCTTTGAAGGAGCCTGCGAGCTGCATGCAACTCACAGTTCTAAAGAATTTGCCAAATGGAAAACAACGAGCAATATAGGGCCATGCAACATGCTCAGTTTCTAAAAACATACTAATGCATACATGATATATTATAAATATAAAACATATTAAAACAACACCACCGCAATTATCCAAAAACTCCCGCCTCAGGAACTGATACATCACATTGGCTGAACTGCTCTGCGATTGCCTTAACGAGAAGAAGGGAACACAGGGGTATACTAAAAAACAATTAAGAAATATTTTTAAGTCCCTGTAGTCACAGAAGGTTGGGTTGGGGTCATCCTGGGTGCAGGCTGGGGGCATCAGCATCTTCAGGATTAAGAGGAAGTGTTTGAACAGCATCCACCGATTCTTCTGCAGTCGACACCTTGGCCTTGAGCTTGGCCTTCAACAAGGCAAACATCTCATGCTTGGCAGCCATGGGGTCCACCTTCACCTCCTCCATGGAACCTGCAGCCAGTAAACGGTAGGCGTAATAGAAGAAAATTACAGGTGAGCCTGACTCTATACTTTTTCATGTGAAATTTGGATGGTTCAACAAACATAAAGGAAAAAACACAGATATATGTTATATGTTCAATAGTGTATTTCCCTTTTTCATAATCAGGCCTGAAATCGGCTCTTCTTTTCCCGCAGCTTGATCTAGATCAGGGGAAAGGTCTCGAGGGGCCATAGGCTCATCATCAGAAATGCACACAGGCTCAGCATCCACTTTGGCATGCCACCAGCATTGTTCAAAGACTTTTGGGTCTTTTGGTATTCCAACCAAGCCTCGTTCTCTGGGGTTAAACCAGGCATCCGTTGGCTGTTGTCAACTTCAGGGTCCCAAGTTGCTTGTGGGCAGGACGGGCGTTGGCCATCACCAAAACGAAACTGGGGGCTAGGCGGCGGGGATGGGGCAGCATGTTTCGGTGAAGTGGGGCTGGCAGGGACCATTGGGGAGGCTGGGGCAGGCAAGGGTTCTTCACCAGCAGGTTCATAACCATCATTGGCAGCTGGGGCCTCATGATCATCATCTTCCCTTTGAACCTCATGATCATCATCATCATGTTCCCTTGGATCCTCATTATCATCATTGGGGAGAGGTTGAGGGCCAGCAACAACAGGTTCAGCAACAGGCGATGCAGCTTGGAAAGCGTCCTCAGGTGGAATGGGAAACATGTTTTATACGATTGAAAATCCT